ATTACTTGGTTTATGAGCAGCGCCTTGATTATGGCCTCCTGTTCCACTAGACCCAGCTTCACTGATATTCTTACCCCTGTCTCTCCCTCAACCTTCAACCCTGAACTAGAAGCCATGACCATGGTCCTCCAGAGCAGTGGTTCTCGACTTTCCTCATTCTGCGACCCTTTAATACAGCTCCTCACGTTGTGTAACCATAAAATTATTTCCATTGCTATTTCCTAACTGTAATTTTGCTGCTGTTATGTAAATATGGTGTTTTTTTTTTTTCCTGATGGTCTTAGGCAACCCCAGTGAAACGGTCATTTGACCCCAAACAGGTTAAGAACCACTGCTCTGGAGCGACTCTCATGATTGCGAGAGCATCAGAGCATGAATGAAATCTTACCCCAGAGAACTTTCCCCTTTTTATGTTAGTGAGAGGTCGGCATTATGATTCGTTTTTGAGGCAGTGTCTCACCCTGTAGTCCAGGCTGACCTGGAACTCGGTATGTATACAGCTGACTTTGAACTCTTAATGACCCTGCTTTGGCCTCCTAAGTGCTGGGACTACAGGTATGTGCCACCATACCCAGCATGGCTCTAGATTTTGGGTTTTCAAAATAAATTCTCAAAGTATCACAGTGCTGTGTCTCACCTCCTTCTGTGAGACAGAGTTTCACCATGTAGCTGAGACAGGCCTTGAACTCATGATCTTCCTGCCTCAGCCTTCCCAGCACTGAGGTAAATTTAGAAGTGAACCACCACATCTAACTTGCTACAGATCTTGAAAGTAGTAAATCAATAGCATTGCCTATGTTAAAATAGGAACTTTACTATGATAACTATGTAATTTTTTCAAAACATTTGCATAATTACCTTTTTCATTTATAGGTTGGTATAAATATTGGTAATGATGAAAAAAGCAGGGTGGGGGAAAGTGTATTAACCACTAACTAACACAGCCAGTGCACCCAGCTTTTTTGTTTGTTTCTGAGACAGGGTCTTGTTTTGTAGCCCGGGCTGGTCTTGAAGGTGCAGCAATCCCATTATCCCTGTCTTCTAACCGCATTAACCAGCGCCCTGAAAACACCTTGCCTCTTGCCCTTTATTAGGAAGGTTTTTACTTTTAATCCTTACTCCACTCAGAGGGAAACAGGGCACTTAGGGCTCCTTGGCCATGTGATTCTTGGTGGAGATGACAAGAATTCAAAGGGGTTCATGTTTCAAGTAATTGTCAACATTCCATGGTGAGTTCCCATCAGGCTCAGAGGCCGGAAAGTCATCCATCCTTATTCTTCTCTCTACAAGCAAAACCTCTTTTAAACTTGAGCCATCTGCGCGCTGGCACTTTCCAATCTCCTCTTGGATATGTAACTTGAGAGCCTCTCGCATGGATGGATCCTGAGGTATGTGTGCCGATACCTTCTTGCTCAGCTTTCTCTTGTCGTCGTCATCCCGATACACAGCAACTGAGGTGACCCCTCTACTGTCCAGGCCCTCTTCTAAGGTGGCCCGAAGGCTTCAGCTGAGACCCACAACCACTGCTGCTGTCACTTGGCTCCTCTCAGTCAGGGTGTGACTGGATGGGTAGAGCTGTGGCTGCAGCTGCACCTGAGGGTCTTACTTATCAGGTGCCAGGGTGTGTGGTGCATCCTAGATGTCTCGGACATCTGTTCCACCTTGTCTGGGCTGTCCCTGCAGGGAGCAGAGCAGCAGTTAAGGGGCTTCTGACCTGGCCAGGCATGGTGGTCCCCAAATGGAGCAATCTCTGCCCATCAGATGTGGCGTATGCATGGAGCCGTGGCTCCCATCCAGGCTTGCAACAGAGCCTAGGGCCAGGACCCTATGTTCCTCCATTCATGGTCCTGGGTGCACAGCCTCATAACAGCAACTGCTTCTAAAGGCTTCTTAAGTTAATTTGCTGTTCTCGTAAGATGGGCAATTTCCAGCAGACAGTTCAGATGAGATACATGGACTGCTTATGAAGACGAGTTATAGCTAGTTCATAATTAATCACCGAAAAAAGACAAAGATGAGGCTCACAGGTGGAATGCTTGCCTAGTATTTCTAAGTACAAAGATGTGAGCCACCGCACCATAAAGCAAACAAACAAACAAACAAACAAAGCTGGCCTCTGTGTTGCTGTGGGGCACACCTGGGAGGCTGGACTCTGGAGACTGACTTGGAGGAAAACATAGTGACAACATATTTTTAAAAGGTAGAGCAGCCTAACATGGTGGTGCACACCTTTAATCCTAACACGTAGGAAGCAGAGGCAGGCAAACTTCTTCGAGTGTGAGGCCAGCATGGTCTACATGGCAAGTTGAAGTCCAACCGTAGCTACATAGAGACTCTATCTAAAGCAAACACACACACACACACACACACACACACACACACACACACACACAAAACAATTAGTGAGAAGCAAATGAAGAGCATCCCATCAAAAATTCTGTGACAGACAAAATAACAAGAACTCAGGATGTTTTAAGCCATTAGGTGTAAATGTAATTCTGAATGGTTTATTAAATAAGAAACACAGGGCCAAATGCAGAGTTAAAAACCCAAGAGGTCAGAGCAGTAGCCAAGAGCCAAGACTAAAACCACCTTCTTATCACCCGTTGCCACTGCTGTCCTTCCCCTGAGAAAGAGACCTACTTCCTGTGTGTCTGTCTTTTTATTGACTTTCTGTTCTGCCTTCTCATTGGTTGTAAACCCAACCACATGACCTCCTCGTCACTGCCTGTCTATACAGACCTCCAGTTCTTCTACGGTTGGTATTAAGATTAAAGGCATGTGTCTCCATGCTGGTGGTGTCCTTGAACACACAGACTCTGCCTGTCATGTGATCGGAATAAAGGGCATGTGCTACCACTGCCAGACTTCTGCTATTGGCTTGCTATTAGCTCTGACCCTCAGGCAACTTTATTTATTAACATACAAATAAAATTACATTTCAGCACAAATAAAATATCACCATAATTAGGACGGATATATTTCTCTATATAATAGTCTTTATGTATATCTGTTATAATTATTTATCATCATCATCATCATCATCATCATCATCATCATCATTATTGGAGACAGGGATTCCTGTAACACAGGTGGGCCTTGATCTGCTATGTAGGTGAGGATGCCCTTGCACTTCTGACCCTTTTGTCTTCTGGTATGTGTGGCCATGCTCAGTTTATTGGGTGCTGGGAATCAAACCCAGGGTTTTCTTCATGTGGGATAAACACTGTACCAACTGAGCCACATCCTGTCTCTTTGAAATAGTCATTGAAAAGTTTGTCTATTTATTTTGTGTACCTGTGCATGTGCCTTGAGCCTCAAGCACCAAGGCCTAGGACTGGAGTTACAGATAGTTACCAGACATCATGTGGGTGCTGGGAATTGAACCTGAATGCTCTGTCAGGGCAACCAGCACTCTTAATCACTGAGCCATCTCCCCCAGCCCCTGATGGCCATTTTTAAAGGATAATAGACTATTTGAAAATATCAAAGCATTAAAGGCATATTTTTAAAACTTGGTATAAGTATTTGTACCCAAATGATAATTTACAATAATTTCATTTTCCTGATTTCAGGGAGTAATAAATGCTTATCAAATACTGCTGAAAACCATACATAAGAACATGTAGGTGTAGGTGTTGGTGCACATGGTAGAAGCACCTGTAAACCTAGCTCTTGGGAGGTAGAGGCAGGAGATTCAATCACTGCCTACATAATGAGTTTGAGCCCAGGATAGGTTCCAGGAGACCCTGTCTCAAAAACAAGCTTGTACATTGGAGCACCAATATTTTTTTCTCCTTCATGTTATTTCCAATGTGGCTGCATGTGATGCAGAAAGAGGGGCAGCTCATTCCAGCTGCTTCCTTCAGTGGTGACACAGCTCGGTGGACTCTAACATAGAATGTAGGTCTTGTGATCCATCCAATCAAGTCATCCGAAGATCACAGCATCCGAAGATGATTGGTCTGTGCATCTTTACCCACCACAGGTGCGGTGCCTGTGCTTGCTTTGAAGTGGGTGTTAGCTGTTTACACTGTTAAAAGTCAGGAAAATGATTCCTTCCTACCATATTCACTTAGAATGCATCTCTGGAAAGATGCCATATCTGCTGTGAACGGAACTGGAGGGAGCGCAGGACACAGGGGACAGTGACTCTGCTGTAAGATGTGCATCTGCCCCGGAGCTGTGCCTTCCTCTGCTTAGAATGGAAAATAGCTTGAGTTCCTCGCCCTGCCACTTCCCGCCCCACCAATTATTTTTGCCTTTTGATCTAAGACATTTACAGACTGAAAGTGAAATCGTCCCCACATACACTTGAGCACATTTTTAAAGGCAACATGAGGAGAGGAGATAATTTGGGCCACTTTACATTTGTAGTAAAAGATACAAGTAAACCATGTACACCCAGATTTTTGCATCACAGATAAGCAAAGAGGTACGTTTTGAAAAACCTCTCCACAGAACTTCGATTTTGTTATGATTCAAAGTTCCCAGAAGAGAGAGCCTGTACAGAAACTGGGCTGAAGTAAAACCTGGTGCTTCCATATCTCATGTGCTGCTGAAGTTTTCTGTAAGGCATTCAGACTTAGTGCCTGAGAGGGTTAATTTGTTAAATAGCTAACTGATGAAGACATCATGGGAAAGGCTGTGAGCTAAATGTCGTAAGAGAAAACTAAAGACGGGGCTCTCTAAGTGGGCACTATAAAGGGTGCAGGCAGCGTACCAGGTGCTGCTTTGGTACTCTGGGGGTGGGATTGCACAGAAGAGCCAGGCATGGCTCCAGGAGGCTTGGCCAAGGAGGGGCAAGTTCTAGCTGAACCTATAAGTGGATGGCGATCCTGGAGGACCTGAACTCCTTACGCGGCTGAAGGATGTCCAGATGTAAAAGGGAAGTCAGGGAAAGTTGAACCGAAGACCCAGGCTTTAAGAAGAGGTGGGGGTGGGGGAGAAGAAACATTATCAACGGAAATAGTGAATTTGGGTAAACATTCTCTCTCCAGGCAGTTTAACGACCGCCCCGTCTTCACCTTCCTGGTGTGAGCAAGAGAACCACAGAAGAAGAGGAAAGAACTGCAGCAGTGGCTTTGACATACCCAGGAGCTGGCAAACGATGGACAGGCAAGTGGGAGGGGGCTCAGTTCCAGAGGAAAGCGGAATGCACACTTCCATGGATTTGAAGGGTGGAGAAAGGGCACTATGAGGGAGCATGGGCTGTGGGAGACGAAATTCTGAGCTGTCAGCTCAGAATGGCTTATTCTTTCAAACCCAGCACCACTAATGCTCCTCACAACGCTCTCTCTTCCTCCCAGCAGCAGACAGAGAGCGGAGACCCTGCTGTCTCTGTCACCAGCTGAAACTGCCAACCTCAAGGAAGGAATCAATTTTTTCCGAAATAAGGCTACTGGCAAAGAGTTCATCTTGTACAAGGAGAAGGACCACCTGAAGGCATGCAAGAACCTCTGCAAGCACCAAGGAGGCCTGTTCCTGAAAGACATCGAGGACTTAGACGGAAGGTACCGTGGGTCCTTTGCTCTCTTGCCGGGGACCCCATGTGCAGTTGGATTTGACAGGAAATGTGCTCATCTAGACATTTGAAATGACCCACTCAGCAAACTGCTTCTTGTAAGCTTTCCTCTTGTTTCATTGGGACAGTCTCCTGACTTCCAATTTGTGTTTTGCTGAGATTCCCTTTCTCTTCTCTCTTTCTAAGAACTCTAACTGGACTTGACAGTCCTAGGCTACTGTAACTTAGCTTCTAGGGTTTGTGTACGTGTGTGGGGATGTTCAAGTTGCAGGTGTGAGCACACACACATGTGGTATTGCAGTCATCAAAGGTTCAAGTCTTTTAGAAGTTTCCATCTCCCAGGATATCAC